CAATTTTTGCCTCAGTTTCTCTTAAAAATTGACATTATGAAAATTCCAAAACCATTCATGTGTGTTTTATGTAGGGACACTTCCAAAGAATGGTTATATATGCATCGTTGAGACTGAATGGGGTAGAGAATTTAGATTACTTTCGTATGTGTGAAACTCATGCCCTAGTTTTACTAAATACCAGATTATTGCTTAAAAGTATATCAGATATTAACTTTGCACACAAAATAATGGACTTCAGTTACAGGAAAAAAAATGTCAATCAAGGAGCAAATGTTGCTATATGCTTGATCATATAGCAACTACAATTTAAACCTCAAATTATTTTCCCTCCACCTGGACACTCCATTCCTAGTTTACTAAATATCAAACAAAATCTGCAATACAGTGAAATTTAAAATTTGAATTGATTAAACACATGATGTGCCATCTCTTTTCATTAAGTTGGTTGGAATACAATGCTCTCAAATTTCAGTCTGAGACCTTCTAATCAATATCACTCTTGCTCTGTCTTAATGAGGAACAGTAAATCTTTGGAATGAGGTTTAAGTAATGAGCCAGGAGAGACAACCTTTATCCTTCCACCCTGGACTATTGAGAAGACAGAGATCTCCTTGCTCTGCAATGTACTGGATAAAAAAAGGATGAAAATGTTCATTCACACAAAATCTGCATCCTTTTTTCCCAAAGCAAAGCAGGCTAATTCTACTTCCTTTCCCAAATGATAGATGATGCTCAAATACTTAAAGACAGATGAGTAACAACATCTTTGCCTTAAGCTTAATTTCACATATTCTCTACTTCTCATCCATGTTATCACCATCTCCTTCCCATCACTTTGCTCACTCTGCTCCAAAGATGGCAGTGTTTCTGCATGTTACCCATGAAAATTCAGTGCCTGGAATGGCAAACACCAGCTATGTTCTGACCATTTCCAGGTATAGCAGAAGCTGTCTAAGAATATTTTATTATGCATAACTTTACAGAGTGTGAGACATATACCCCTTATTAGAAAATTAAAATTGCCTTTGGGATATCAAATACTTCACAATAAGTACAACCAACATTTCATGTATTCTTTCCTAATTGTTTCTGTAGGCATTGATTTTTTAAAATTAAAATTGAGATTTTTTTTTCCATATGATTTTGTATTCAGGGAATTTCATATTTCAGTATAGGTTTTCTCCATGCCTTTAAAATTCTTTGAAATTATCTTTTTGAGTTATACAGTATGTTTTGTGAGTCTTTCTCTGTATCTTCTGTGATGCTGATGATTGAACCCACAGGCCTTGGGCATTCTCAGGATGTGCTCTACCACTCAGCTACACTGCCAGCCCTGGTATATCTCATTTAACTATCCCTTATGGTTAAATG